TTTGTATAACATTTATAACCTATCGATGTAAGCTATGGTTTATGTCCCATTTACGTCGATGATAATTTTATCATACGAAACTTAAATACAACGCCTCGGCGCAACACTAATCATAAAATATACCACGTTGTAATCCCGTAGTTATTCTTGCGTCACTCAGTAGGTAGGTATAGTATATTATTATTGCTGTAGAATTAAAACAGAATCAGAGTAGAATTAATATTATCGTCAATAATCCATGCGGTGACATTGAGGTGGTTGAGTAGAACTCAATTGGTTAATATATAGATAACTTGTACCCGCTATAATAGTTCCTTACCAACTTATATATAAAGCTCTACATAGGTATAATACTACACATTGTCAGTTTTTATTCAACTTTTTCAAAAAGCTATACCTAATACCTGAGTAGGTATATGTAATTATAACGAGGTCCAAAAATAACGACAACATAAAACGTTTTGGGCTTTCCTTGTTCCTCCGATAGGCAATTACTTTGATGATGACCTTATGCAATTATAGTATTTAACCACTCTACGTAGTAATATTGCGTAGTATACCTACGTATCATTGCGCAGTTCTTGCCTACATACACACACAACATCATAACTTACATTTCCTGGGACTGAAATTTTCAACAGGCTGACGATGTTGCCATGTCGTGTGCAAAACAAAAGATAGAGTAAAAATGAACGTTTATATTTATTTAATATTCTTCTGCCAAAATCTTACAATTACTTGCCTACCTATACCAAAATATAGGTATAGATAATTTTTCCCTCTCCGTCAGCTATTCTAACCAAATTTTGCGTACAACTACAGTTGATATCTTTTCGACTAAACACAATGATATTACCTATGAACGTCGTACAGTATAATACTAAAATAGCATTTTCAAAGTCCAAATAATTATTTTTGTGACTTTATCGAAGGTGAATCCGTAAACATTTATTATTTTATAAACAGTGTCAACAGAGATACGGGGAAGAGGGGTAGTTATACATTGCGGTTATTTGGACTTTTTAATAAACACCATAATATTATTATAATACTATATTGGGGTCCGGATTCGAACACGTCCTCCGTCTAATCTTGCTGGCCACCAAGTTCAAGAATATATTCATAAAATTCATAATGCGTACCTACGATAATCAGTTATTAGCTGGTGTATCCTAAATCTACAACGCAATTGTTATTTTCAACCCTTATGAAAAGACGGCACATTTTAATATTTTACGAAATTATTACTGCAGCAGCTTACAATATCTCATCGACGACGCAGCTCGTAGCCTCGTAGGTATAAACGGTGAAGGACATAAACGCAAAAATAACTAAATGGGATAAGAAAAAAAGGACAAACTCGAGTTGGATCCCATATTTCAAAAACAGCACGAGTTGGGTCCCGGTATACTTTATGGAGTACTACATTAGTTGGGTCCCGGTATATTTTTTGGAGTACATGAGTTGGGTCCCGGTATATTTTATGCAAAGGTGGTCAAGTTAATGAAAATAATTAACTAAAATAAATTAAAATTAAAGTTAAAATATAAAATWAAATTAACTTAACTCAGTAAAAAATTGTATTAATTTTTTTTCCAAGTCATAATTAAGTAATACATTTCACGAGTATTTTGTTTTGTATAAACATTTATCAAGTTAAACTTTACAGTTGTAAGCATAAAACTTAAAATTATTATTATAGTACATACTACATTACTACTATTTACTAGAAAGTTATAGCCTTATTATAGGCCACATCTATACATAAAAACATCTATACAATAATGATAATTAACTATAATATACAATATATTCAGTGCTGGTGGAAGGCGTGTGCGACCGGCACTGACAATATTACCATTTACCGCGGACCCAATTCGAGTATTATCAAATGATACCATGGACCCAACTCGTGTTTTTTTTTAAGCCTTTAAGGGATCAAATATCTCGGGAYCCAACTCGCGTTTTCCAGAAAAAATAGTCGTATTATGCATAAGCGCCAAAGTCCTAGGTACATGTAACCAATTTATTAAATTTATATTGATTTGCATATATATATATTATTATGCTTTAATATTGTTATTTTTTGTTTTTATAAAATCTCAATCAATTTATTAAATTTATATTAATTTGTATGAATACCATAATATTTAACAATTTATTATTGATAATTTTTTTTAATATAATATAATTTTTTATAAGATATAACAATTTTTGAATAAATACTTATATAAAATATTAATTTTGAGGCAAATGATATGTAATTTTTGCACCTTTGGCGCTTATGTCTCATATAGCTGGTACAACTTTTAGTCGTCCTATATGGATGTGATAAATTATAAACACGTACAAAATTAACTATAAATATAATGTTCGTATTGAATTTCCTGCAACTGCAGTTATTATCTCGTAAAAGTTTTCTTGCAGTAATCACTATGCGCTACGAACCCACTCCTGTTCAGAGTTAAACGCAAAATATAATTTGACGTTTTCGGTTATACCTGGGTGTTATCTATACAGATTTTACAAAACCCRAGTAACCAATGGCAACCATTTACAGTAGCATACGTAGGATTTTAGTTAGGTTAGGGTTTTACATGAATAAATAATATACATTATTTCTTGCAGAACAGTTTTTATAATTAATAATAGTTATAAATATATTATATTAAATTATAACGATTTATTTTATATTTATTAAAAATTACCAATAATTGATCGTATCTGTGAATTGAAATGGCGGTAAGTAAGATTTTTGTTGTAAAAAGAAGAAATTTCAAAGCGGGAGTAAGAACCCTAGATCCCTACCCTTACGCCACTGACTATTTATCTGCTTACGGACAACCATTAATTGCTTCTACTACGATTCTAATCTGTGATCAATGTATATAAACAAAACATTTTATCTATGAGCAACTGCAACTCTTTAAAATTGAAATTCCTTTCTTATTGCGCCCCTACGTGGTGGTATAAAGGTAACATACTACCATAAATTATAAATATTTCCAGTCTCTAACTATATTATAGACCATARTTTAGGCTCAAGTGGCTCAACGTTGATCAGGTCAATCAGTCAGGACATGTTCGATTAAAATATAAATTTGSTATCGTGGTATAAATAAGTAATTAGTGACAAGATTTTACGGTTGTGTCAAAATGAGCGCTCAGCACTGTGCAGGACAGTGATTTGGTATAATTGGTTAMTTGGGGAGGTACCAATTAGTTAATGACGTATTGTYGTTGAGAAAATTTTCTGTTACTTWATTATGTAMATTTGAGCACTTAATACTCCTAAAAATAAATATAATRATTTAATATCACAGTTGCTTTAAACTTTAAAAAACGAGCGGATTAATAAAATATGTCTGAGATGAGAGAGTTGCATTGCAACAACGGATATGTTATAAGCCCCATATAGGCTTATAGCAGAGGTATTCAAATTGTGCGCAGTGGCTGCAAGGGCGTTGCAATTATTAATAATATTACGAGAGCCGTGGCACAGAAGAGTGAAAAAAAAAGACGATGACGATTATTGATATATTGTTATATTCTAATATTCTAGCCGTAAAACATTTCATTTCTGTATTTTATGCATAGTTTTACGTTTTTATCTATCAATAATATAATATTATGGATGTATAAAGAAAAGGAACGGAAGGACGAAAGAACCTTGAAAAAAAAGTTTGAATTCCTTTGGGCTATGGTATAAATGTATATACCGTTTTCCTCGACTCATCCATCCTGCAGGATAATGGTTATATTATATAATACAGTGACGTAGAGCGGCGTGATGACACGTTGTTTTGTATTATATACAATATATACCTATTTTAATTATTATTTTGGAACAAAAAATGATATTTCAATAAAGGCCTATTTTGCACTGACATTGGGTTAATCTATTCTGCGTATACCTTGCCTATCCATCATGTTGCATAATAGTATTATATGCATTAATATTGGCGAAAACTGTGCGTTCTGCCTTAAGCTACAATAATAATTCTTATAATAGAATGTACAGATAGGTTATTAAATGTATACCGATGACGGTATTTTCAGTGTTCTGTGGTAATTACTAGTATCGTGTAATTTCAGGTATTCGCAGACATCTTTTTTAGAATACCGCGGATATACCGTGATTTGGCAATTGCTTACCTACCGGCTACCGGTGTTACCGAAAAAAATAGTACAAAAGTAATTATTAACTACCGAAAATATCGTAGGACATTCTGTCCGCAGTGGCTTGATGAGTGATATGTTAACTGCGGGCAGCAACATATTTTTAGACCC